GTTCCAGTGGTTGACTTCTCCGATTAGAGGAAATGAGGAGCGATGTTGTTTGCCAGCCAAGCAAGGTTCACAGAGTTGGGGGAAAGGAGTGGAGGGAGGTGAATTATGAACAAGAAGATCCCTCACAAGTTTGCCAGAAACCAACTGCTTCCAACGATCTTGTCCAATGTGGCAAAAACGACCATGCCAGAGTTCAGGGGACAGTGAAGAAGAGACCTTGAGAGCAGAGGCTTGAACAACTGTAGATCCATCCAGCAAAGCACAGTTGTCATCACCAACCTATGCTTGAAAGATCAACTGGGAGTTCAAGGTGAAGGTCATAGTTGATTTCTTGATGTGCACTTCAAAGTCCTTCTTACAAGTAAGAGCAAGGACAGAGAGAAGGTTGTTGGCAAGGAGGGGGACATGGAGGACATTGGCGATCACAAGTTGATGTAGGGGCTGTCCATTTTTCATTGGAGTAAACACAATTGATCCCACACCAGCAGCATAGATCACATTGTTGTCAGCAAGACGAACTGGGATCTTGCAAGGGTTGTACTCCAAGAACCAGTGGTGATTTGGAGTCATATGGGATGTAGCACCAGTGTCTGCAATCCAAACATCTGGACCTGGGCAGGCAGCAGTGGAGAGTGTCCTAGCAGTAGTATTGCCAGCAAATTCCTCAAAGGTATAACCAGTGTGTTGATGGTCACAGAAGAAAGTGGTGAATTTGGCATGCAAGTGGGATAGGAATGAGAGCAACTTAGAAAGTATGTTGCATACAGAATGGCAAGCCATCCCTGCAGCCAGTAGTGTGATGAGGAGGAAGGGTGCTGGGTGTTGGGACAACATGGAAAAATGTAGTGATAAAGTGGGAGCCAGTGATGCGATTGACATGAAACTTGGAGGAATGATGGAGCGTCAAGAGAGCTACGTAGTCGCAAAGTTTCAAGAGATTCAATGGCACATTGAGGCGATAGAGTCAATTTTGTGCTCAAATATGTTTGCCTTATTCCAGATAAAGGAATGGTGCGATTGGCACGAAAGTTGGAGGGATAGTAGATCCGCAAACGAAGTATATCGTATGTCACTTTCGAGGCGATTGGCACAGTTTCTAAGATGCTATAGCCCTTTCAAAAACTGTACAATTTTTAAAAATCGTTTTTCGGGTGAACAAGTGATTTGATCAGCGCGAAAATGCGAGGAACGCGAGATGAATATACGAAGTACGTCGAATATCAATTTCAGAGCGATCCGTCGAAGAACAGAGGAGCTAGAGCAGTTGCAAGATGATAGAATCGTTCGTTGAATATCAGCGGAGTATGTGATTCGATCGGCGCGAAAATCGGAGAGCGTCGAGTTCGACAGGAAGTGACGACGTGGCAAAAGTTTCGCGTCGATTGAAGCAGATCTCGAGGCACAATGGCAGATATCAGCTGAGAGGGGGTTCCAGGGGTTGTTTAGAGCAGTTATAGAGTGTGTTTTCAACCAGGGGAAGAAGATATGAAGTGCTGGATGAAAACTTGACCTCAAAACGAAATTTGCGAAAGCCCCTTCAGTATTCTGGGCTCATAACCTGTTGTAACTCAGGTTATGGCACCTCTGAGATGAACTGAGATGAACTGTAATGTTTATACAAGAGTAGAAACAGATAGAGTTCATCTCTGCAGTCATGTGACACATAAAAAGAAAAGGAAAGGAAATCAAAACAAGAGGTAGATGTACTACAACAGTTCATGGAGCTGATATCTAGCGACTTTTTTTTCCGATTGTGCATAGCATTGATATTTAAAATTCCTGGCAGCTGAACTTCATCCCCACTTTTCACCTCAATGGCTGCATGGAATTGGCTGAAAATTTGGCAGCAGAGTGTTGGGGAAAAAACACAGGAGCATTTTTTTTTGACAGAATGATTTGATGAATTTTTGAGAATTTGGATAATGGGGCAGCTATGGCGGCGGACTAGTGTCTAGGGTTCAGTGTTGGTCAACGGTTGCTGTATTTTATAGTCCTATATTGTCGTAAATTTAACATATGAACAATGGAAGTTATCTGTGTATGTTTTGAGGATGTTGCAGGCATCACTTTGATGGTGCCTACAGAATTTCCCGATGTTGCACTCCAACTCCTGTGCTCCAACTCAAAGTGAACAATGGCCCCTTGCCACTTTAGTAGTGATCTCAAAGCCCTCATAGTTCGCATGAATGCATATTTGGAACCACATGTGGTTCAATTCTTGACTGGTGTGAGTACACACTCAATTCAACACTGGAGAGAGCAATATGCACAACATGGTGGCTTTGATGCACCAAATACGAGGGCAGCCAGCGGTCAGAGGGCCCTAAGTGATGCAGATGAGCATGTAATTATATTCCCTTGCACATTTGCCCTGGGTTCTGACTATATCATAGTTTATCAAAGGTTTGCTTGCTGTGCAACCCGATTTGTATTTGGATGAAATTCAAGGCAAGCTCAAAATGCAACGGGGAAGGCTTGTATCCCAATCGTGTATATGGAGAACACTTTGACACAATGGCTCCTGTATGAAATCAGTGAGTCAACAGTGGCGACCCTAAGCTTGATAACCCAATCCATCACCGACATCTAGATCCACCAAGTGGCCACTGAAAGAAATGAGAGAGACCGGGATAGATATTGTCACTTAATTTGGGATAATTACTTGCCTGATCAGCTTGTTTTTGTGGATGAAACTGCAGTGGACAGTCGCAATACTAACTGGTTGCGAGGATGGGCTTGGAAAGGCCACCGACCTCAGGTTCGTGCAAGTCGGATCTGTGGAAAACAGTATGCTGCCTCAGCTCTGATTTAGAGTGTGTTGTCACTGATTCTGTTAAATATTCACTGCTTCCAGCGCTTTCTCTTGAAGGACCACTATATGCTGAGGCACGCATAGGTGCATATACAACAATCACATTTCGCCATTTCATTCGAAGGCTGTTACGTGAGATGAACCCTTTCCCCCAGCCAAATTCCACTATTGTCCTTGATAACTGCTCAATTCATAAGCATCCTTCTATCCATCGTCTGGTTGAACGCAAGTATGTATGAGTTTATGTTATGATTAACACTTTTTAATTTCCTCATTTTGGCAGTGGATGCCAGCTCATATTTCTCCCACCATACTCACCCGACTTGAACCCAATTGAGGAGGCTTTTGCTGCATTCAAAGCAAGAATTCGGCGTAGTGGTCCATCTCTGCGACATCTTATGCAAAGACAGCAAAATGAACAGGCAGTTAAAGCACATCTATGTGATTTATTCTATTCTATTACAGCTGAGGATGCATTTGGCTGGTTCTTTAACACTGGCTATGATGTAGAAGAGGAAGACTAGTTATTTTTAAATATTATAGACATTGTACACTATCTAGAGTTGCACTACTAAATGACTACAAAAGCTAGTGGTGGCTAGGTCCATTATACTTATTAGTAATGTGCTTGACTTCACACTGGACAAGCTTTCCAAGCTTTTCAGCAATGCCACAGGTGAATCCAACATTTAATGACTCCAAGCCTCCCGGATTTCGGCATGCGTGATCAAGATCATCAAGATGGAAATAGCCCAGTACAGCCAATGGCTCTGAAAATACAGCAAGGGGCACAGGATCAGGGAAAATATTCCTATCACATTCAAGTCTCTCGAACCATTCCATGATTGATGGGAATATTGCTGATGGAGGGGAAAAATCATCACTGTCTGGTGCAAGATCTGGGGCGCCACGTTGGGAATGCACAGCCTGAGAGCTGAAATTTTGTTCCAAGTTGTCAGGGCACATCTTTGGGTCGCTAGCGTAAGTAGCGCAGCACCACATGGCCTGTATCCCCATCAGGTTCTTCTTCTTTTCTGCTTCTGATCTTCTATTTGATCTGGTCACACGATATCAGTTATGATGCTGTGTGATCTTCTATCATCTTTGATCCGCTTCTACCGGTTATTAGTTAGTTGGCTAGTTACTGTCTCTACCGTGTACATATATATCCTTTGCTGGTGTGGGCATGTCCCCCAGCTTTGCTATCAACTTGGTTTTGGGGGCATCCTTTGTTGCAAGCATGCACAACCCTGACACAAGTGTGGGTGTGGTCAATGATAGTCATGGCATCCATGATATCTGGCAGCATGCTCACAGGTGGTACACTGATGTCCATATGCATTCTGGAATGCATGACTAGGGTACAGACCATGGTATGGAGGGGGGGGGGTTGTAGTACAACCATTTGTGGCATAGATGAGGCTGGCGGAGGTGGCTGTGGTGGAGGAGCAGAAACTGATTTTGCATTGGAGCAATGACCTAGTGGTGGGGGAATAATTCCATCAGCAGTAGAAAGGACTGATGCGGGTGGCTTTTCGAGTGTAGCAATTCCACTTTCCTAGTGTCACTAGAAATGGCTGCTGTGCAAGCCCTGACCTTGCTTGTGATAAGGTTTTTGCATGTGAGGTTAGCGGAATGGGAATGTTTTCCAACATCATCGATCTTTCCATCAAACTGGTAATGTCTTTCTGCACCATTATGCCAAGGTTCTTTCTACTGTTGTGCACCTTTATTAAGCTGTCACAGCTCTTTTCTTTTTGTCTGCCATGAGCACGCTACATTAATTATGTATCTGTTGTAGTTTGAGTTGTCTCTTTTCATTCCAATCTTCACTCTATATATAGTCATGTGACTTTGGAGTCGACTTTATCCTTTCTACTTATTGTATCAAGGCTAAAGTCTACTCCAGGCAAGTCTTCCTGTATTTATCCTTTCTACTTATTGTATCAAGGCTAAAGTCTACTCCAGACTGCCCCAGGGCTGCTCACCTGAGTTACTACAGTATCACCATTACCTGCCACCAATTAATTAGCTTTTCCAATGCTCTTCATTCCACTAGCTTTATCCGATTAAACGAATGCACTTTGCACTTCCTATGCCCCATCAAACCAACTGGTGTCATGTTGTCTCATGCCCACTTTACACCAGCGTATAATTGGTGGATGCCACCTGTGGTGGCAAGAGCCCACTAAGTACTCTTCCCACCTTTGTTTTTCTTATCCAATTCTGGCTCATTGTCGGCTTGTTCATCGTTGGCTTGTGCAGTGTTGGGCACAAGATCAAGGGGAAGAGGGGAGAGGGATGGGCAAAATGTGGCAAAGGCTGGAGGGACAATGAGATCCATTGGAAGGGACTTCAGATAGTGCTCGCATGCGAGCTCATACAAGCGGACCATAGGAATAGAAGTCCACTCAGCGTAAATGGCATCCAGCCACTCAAACACATCCTTACATGTGTTATACCTGACACCCTCGTCCCTATAACTCCACAAAGCCTTGCAATGCACAATCCCAATGACAGCATTGATATGTTCACATGCAGAAATCCACCATTGCATGTGATCACCCAAAACAACAGCGAGAGAGTGTGTCTGGAGGGTACACAGGTAGAGTGCCGTCAGCATGTGAATATTGTGTGGGGCTGGACTAGGATGTGCTGGCACGAGTTTCTCAGCGTGCGCAGGTGCAAATATCGCATGTGTTGCCAGAAAAGCGGGTGGGGGACATGGAAGATGTGTGTGTGGAAGGCCCAAAAGTCATGGGTCTGAGCCTGGGGAGCCATGAACACAGAGAAGAAAGCAGAGTGGGTGCAAGCACACATTTCTAGGTGCACACGGGCATGTGGATTTCGAGTGAGAACGGCCTAATCAGCACAGGCACGCATCTGAGAGTTGCACACGTGTGGATTGCATGTACAAACGCATCTGGAGAGATGCACATGAGTTTCAAACTGAGACTGGAATAATGAGTGAAGAGGAATGTGCAGTGAGTCAAACTCGTACTTACATCGACATGGTTTGTTTGCAGGTGGCTTGCCTTACTGCCTGAGCAGTACTATAGTGAAAGTGGTCCAAATTATATTGTCATGGTGACCCTAGGTTACAGAGGATCCTGTGCACAGCACCTTTGGGGCCTAAATTTGTGCTACAGAGTTGTGGGACAAATGAGCCAGAAAGATGAGTTGGAGGAAAGGACACATGCAGAAAAGCAGTCAATACATTTGCAGAATTCCCACCAATATATTTGCAGAATTCCCACGAATTGTGGACATGCAAGAGACCTTGCAAGCAAGGTAATTCAGTACCGAACATATATTTGTATTAGTGAAAATCTTACAATTGCTCCAGCCCATCACTTGGCAACTGCCTTTGTGAGGGAAAGGTGCTTTCCACTTGGCATTACATAGCAGTTCTTGAGGTGCTGCTCACAGAAATGGTGCTTCTCATGGAGTAAGTCTTCAATTTGCCAAAGCGCCAGCTTTGCTGGCTTCTTGCACTGCACACAATGTGAATGATCAGAATCGGATTCATCCATGGTTGAGTCTGCAGAGCCAGAGTCAGTGTCACTGTCAGAGGAGCTGGAGTCGTCCTGGCCAGTCTTTGATCTTTTCTTCCTGGCTTTCTGTGATCCTTGCTTCTTCTTTGTACTTTTCTGGCCAGTCTTTCTTTGATCTTTCTCTGGCTGGAAGCTGCATTTAGCTTCAACAAACAAGCAGATTTTGTGATAGTATGAAAGTGCAATGGACTAAATTTCATATGATGATGACAACCACTGCTTCCCATCCTTCTCATGCTGCATGACTATTTCATGCACCATCAGCTGGTATTCTTGATTATCGTCAACTGTCTGCAGGTCTTGCATCTTCAGAGCTGTGCCCAGCTTCCAAGTGATCTCTGGCCTGAAGCGTTTGTTCTCCGGTAATCCAGGTGTCGCAGAAATGGCACTCTTCCAATCTTCGTATTCTAGATCAAGTGAAAGCAGCTGGGGCTTTGCTTTCCCTCCCACATTTACTTTGTATGTGATAGGTCCAGGCAATGGCCGGGCTTCTGCTGTCATGGAATCAGTTTCCACTTGCTTTGTTTTAGTGGGAGCCTTGTTTCAGGCTACTCTGCTTGCTCTGGCGCTAGGCTGGGCTGCTTTAGGGGCTGTTGCTCCTGAGAAAAGAGACACTTGAAAATGAAATACACACACACACCTTGTATTTTCTCAATGGAGTAACTATTATCATAGACGGTTTCAGGAGTTCTGGCCATAATTGGCTGGGCCCCACTGATCACTGGTTGCTGCACAGGCCTGGGGTGGGTTGTATTCTGAGACTCAAGAGCTGCCAGCAAAAAATCGAGCCCATTTGGTGTCTGTCCAGACACAGAATCAAGAATAGTGGGGTGAAAATGATTGGAAGCATGCTCTGAGATATGGTTGTGCTCAGAGGTGTGCTGAGGGATGGGCAAGGGAGGAGGCTGTCAGCAGGATTGAGTCTGATGTTGAATTGTGGTGTCTGGAGATGAGGGCCTTTCCACATCTTCAGATTGCTCCTCCCTTGATCCTTGAGGGGGGTCAAGACTATTAAGGCGAGATAGTTGCTTCTGAGAGGTTTTGGTTTTGCGAGCCATGCGATACTGTTGGTTGGAAGGAAAGTTAAAAATCAAAATTCCAGAACAAGTACCTGTTGTAGTTTGAGTTGTCTCTTTTCATTTCAATTTTCACTCTATATATAGTCATGTGACTTTGGAGTCGACTTTATCCTTTCTACTTATTGTATCAAGGCTAAAGTCTACTCCAGACTGCCCCAGGGCTGCTCACCTGAGTTACTACAGGTTATGAGCCCAGCCCATTAAGGGCTGTTTCGAAATTTTCACTTTTGGGCTGAAAACTTCATCTTGTCATCAAACTTCTATCAATTCTCAGCTCTCTAGTGCTCTAGCCAACTCTTAACAGCCCCTGTCAACTTGAATCTGCCATAGCGCCCTGGATTTCGCCTCGTTCGATGCCTAAGTCTGCCACGTCATTAGTCGCGCGTGTCAAAAACCTGTCGGTTATGGAAGAGGGGGTAAATGCGTGAGTCCGAATGCAGGCAGGGCTCAACTAGAGGGGGGCCGAGGGCTCCGGTAGTGAACCGAAGCTTCTCAGGGAGCCCGGTTCTGCTGGATGGTACAAGAGGCTCTAAGGAGGACGCGGCCTCAGCAACTCGGAGGGAGCGCTGTGCCTCCGTTACGTCTCTGTTAGTCCTTGTATTTCTTATGTCTGAGGTGTCTTGTAGAACAGGGACAGGAATCACTCAGAGGGACTTTGGGTGGCATTTTAGTCGAGATTAGAACTGAGGAACTACAGGTTCTAATCTACGTGTATTTATTTAAAGGAGGATGGGGAGGACTTTAGTCAAAGCCCGAAATGACAAAATGGGGAAAACACCGAAAGGTACCGAATGATACCGAGAGGTACCGAAAGGTTCCGAACGATATCTAAAACGGGGAACCAAGGTGTCGGGCCAAGGAGGGCGGAGTTGGAGGCTGGAAAATGAATGGGGAAGACAAATGGATAAAGGGGGTTAGCCAACTGAATGGTAGTAAGAAGGTAGTCGTGCTAAGAATGGGAGATGACTAATAAGTGATAACGTGAGGGAGATCACTGAAGGATGCGGGTAGCTCCGAAAGCGGAGTTGCGTATCCGAAGGATGTTGGGTGACTCAAATAAATGAAATGGGTGGAGGAAGGGTTTAAGGGCATGTCACGGGATGTCGGAGGTCCGTCAGGATATCGGAGCAAATCCGGGATCTCCGAATGTTCCGACTCGGGACCGAGGTTCCGGGATGGGAGTGGCCAAGGTTCGGTGTGCCGCAACCAGACCGGAGCTGAGACAGTCAGGAGGGAAGGTGACTTGGAGAGTGGGGAGGCAAGGTGTAGGGGATGGTGAAGTTGTTAGGAAGGTGTGATGTGGTGGGAGTACGCGGGGTCGGGATTCCGGGAGATGACAGCGCGTCGAACTCTAACACCACAAAATCTCGCATCAATCGGATCTTTCGTTCCTCTGATACAGACCATTCTTTCTCTGGTCCAGCGCTTGCACAAATCGTGTCGAAATTTATACCACATATAGCTCCAACAGCGACCTTCTGTCTATCACGTTTTCGAACCGATCAAATTACCCATCCTTTCGAAAATCGTCCTTCAACATTATTGTGACTTTTAAAACGCTTACAGCACCTCAACGGGTCAACAGATTGCTCTAAAATCGATACACATCGTACTTTGATTGACAATCTATCATCGTTCCCATTTTCGCGACAATCGCACCATTTCCCCACCTGCTACAGTGAAAACTTGTTTTTCAAGAAAGATTCATGCTAGTTATCTCATTTCTCCATCAATCGTTTTGAAATTGCTGCAAACGCTAGATCGATTGACAATGCCTCGTCGCTTCAAGTTTCACACCAATCGCTCAACTTGTTCAAATTCTATGAACACTTCTTCCACCCCCTCTCCTGTGTTGTCTCTACACACTGCTCTCTCTGCTCCCCCTGTCCCCATGCCAAATTCCTGGATTGCAGACACTGGTGCCACCTCACATATGACTCCACATCGTGAGTGGTTCAATCAGTATTCACCCTGCCACACCCCAGTCCGACTTGCAGACAACAACATTATCTATGCTGCTGGGGTTGGTACTATTGTCTTCACTCCAATCATAAATGGCATCCCCTCACGTCCAATTGAGTTCTCAAGTGTCCTCCATGTTCCATTACTCCAGAACAACCTCCTCTCAGTCCTCCATCTGACCAAGAAGCACAACTTTGAGGTCGTCATCAAACAGTCAACTATGACCTTCAGGCAGAATGGTCAACTCCTGTTTGAGGCAGCAGTGTCTGATGGCAACACTGGACTTCTTATTGGATCTACAACTGTGCAGTCTGCTCTTAGAGCCTCCTCTCTCTCTCCTGAACTTTGGCATCGACGTCTCTGCCACATTGGGAGAACTAGGCTGAAGGAACTATTTTCTGGATCTTATGTGAAGGACTTGGACATTGGAACCCCTCTCTCTACCTCTCCTCTCCCTGACATCTGTGAGCATTGCCTAGCTGGCAAACAACATCGCCTTCCTTTCCCTGATGCTGCCTCCAATCGGAGATCCAAACCTCTTGAACTTGTACACTCAGACCTTCATGGTCCTATCTCAGTTCAAACTCCCCAGCAGCACAGGTACTGGATCAGCTTTGTGGATGACTACTCTCGCTACAGAGTCATCTATTTGCTCCAGAACAAGTCACAGGCCTTTGCTGCTTTCAAGGAGTTCAAGGCTCTTGCAGAAAATCAAACTGGTTTTCGGGTCAAGGCACTTAGGGATGACAAAGGGGGGGAATATATGAGTAGGGAGATGGACCAATTCTTGAAGGAACATGGGATTATGAGGGAACATACCACCAGGGGGACCCCACAGCAGAATGGAGTAGCAGAAAGGACTAATCGAATATTGGATGAAGGGATTACTTCCATTCTGCATGAGTCTCAACTTCCTGGTTCTTTCTGGGGGGATGCATTGGCTTCCTTCCTCCATGTCTTAAATCGTTCTCCCACTTCTTCCCTCAAGGACATGACTCCCTATGAAGCCTGGTTTGGTTCCAAACCATCTCTCTCCCACCTTAGAGTTTTTGGTTGCCAGGCCTATGTCCATGTCCAGAAGGATAAGAGGAAGACTTTTGAGCCAAAAACACATAGAGGTATTTTCATTGGGTATCCAGCAGACTTCTATGACTTGTCAACTGGCAAGACTGTGATCTCAAGAGATGTGGTTTTTGATGAGCAAACCCTGCCTGGTATTGGACCTGGTAACCTCAAAGACACTTATCACCCCTTACACTTGAAGCCAGTGCCAGAGTCAGGGGGAGATCACTCATCCAGAAATTTCTTTACTCCTCTGTCTGACTCTATATCTGACATTTTGACTTCTGACACTGTCTCCAATCCTCCACCTGTCCATTGCCCTCCTTCTCCTCAACCACCACCATCCATTTCTCCCTCTCCTGCACCACCCTCTCCTCACCCTTCATCCTCTCCATCACCTGGCCCTTCTACCCTTCATCGTACAACTCGCTCCAATGCTGGGGAGCCACCTGGTGAGTGGTGGAAAGTCAATCCTACCCCATCACCTCCTCCTAGCAAGTGGGATGCAAGGGAGCCAACTCCAGATGTCCAATCTGACTCAGACCATGATGGCTCTGATGAAGATGACTCTGAGTCTGATATTGTTGTGGTTATTTCTCTTCATTTCTATTCAATCTGCACTTCTACTTAGTGTCATGTGACTGCTGAGTCACTCTTTACTGTTCTTACTTGTGTAATAACACTAAAGTCAACTCAGACTGAGGTATCTGCTGAGATACAATACAACCAATCATTGATTAAGGTGGCAAAGAATCCAGAGCACCATGGGAAGATGAAGCACCTGGACACCAAGTACTATTGGATTAGGGATCAGGTAGATTTGGGGAAGTTGAGGATAGAATGGGTGCCATCAAGTGATAATAGTGCTGATATTCTGACAAAGGCTCTTACAAAAGACCTTCATCAACAACAATGCTCTTTATTGGGGCTTAAAAGACAGGAGCTAGATTGAGGGGGAGTGTTGTAGTCTATCTACCTCTTGTTTCCTTTGTTTCTCTTTTATTCTTCTCTCTATATAGTCACATGACTGCAGAGTCGAACTTTAACTGTTACTACTTGTGTATTAACACTTACAGTTCGACTCAGGCAAGTCTCACTTGTATTTAACTGTTACTACTTGTGTATTAACACTACAGTTTGACTCAGGAGTGCCTATAAGCTGAGCTGCTATAAACAAAGGGCTCAGATGGCTAAGGAAAAGGAGCATCTGGCTGAGTTTGCTGGCAATGCAAGTGCCCTTTCCACTCCCTCCAGTGCAGCTCCTGACTGTTGGATCGCAGACACAGGGGCCACTTTGCATATGACTCCTCATCGCAAGTGGTTCAAGGACTATAACCCTCTTAAAGTCCCTGTACATCTAGCTGATAACAATGTCATATATGCTGCTGGTTTGGGTTCGGTTGTATTCACACCGGTAAATAATGGGAAATCCTTGCGTCAGATTGAGTTCTCCAATGTCCTACATGTTCCTTTACTCGCCAACAACCTACTATCAGTCCTCTCTTTAACAAGAAAGCACAATTTCGAAGTCAACATCAGAAAGTCAACAATGAGTTTTACTCTTAACTCCCAACTGGTGTTTGAAGCTTCGGTTTCTGAGGACAATAGTGCATTATTGGATGGCTCTACTGTGACCCAGGCTGCACTTAGCATCTCGTCTTCATCCCCCTCGCTGTGGCACCGTCGTTTCTGCCACATTGGGCGAAATCGGCTAAAACAACTCATCTCTGGTTC